ATCGATGATTGATCTGAACAAAATTAAGTCTTTGACAACTTCACTCTTTTCTCCATTTATACGCATATTGTTTATTGGTCCAGTGGTGAGGAGTTTTGTTTTCTTTATATTGAGGTGCTAGCCATACCAAAGGTTGTGGTCTTTGATCTTCATCAGTAAGCATGTTAAGGCCACTTCATTTTCAGTAAGGAAGGTTGTATCATCTGCATGTCACAGGTTAATGGGTCTTCATCCAATTCTGATGCCACATTTTTTTCCCATATAATCCATCTTCTCAGATTATTTGCTCAGCATACATACTGAATAAGTATGGTGAACTAATGCAATCTTGGTGCATACCTTTCCTAATCTTAAATCTTTCGGTGTTCCCTTGTTCTGTTCAAGAAACTGCTTCATGGTGTATGTACAGGTTCCTCATGAGCACAAACGGTTTGGAATTCTCATTCTCTGCAATGTTGTCCATAGCTTGTTATGATCCACACAATGGAAAGATTTTAGGTAGTCAATAAAGCACAGGTAAACATCTTTCTGGTATTCTCTGCTTTCAGCCAAGATCTACCTGATGCCAGCAATGATATCCCTCATTTCATGTCCTCTTCTGAGTCTGGCTTGAACCTCTGGAAGAAGTGTTAGTGCAGGACAAATGACTTTCTGGAATCTTTTCCAGTTTAGGATTTTAGTATTCTTCAACAAAATGATGATCTGTCCTAAAGTGGGGATGGGAATGAGTTCCTGAGGTCAGGACTGAGCATCAGGGTTCAGTGAGACCTCTCAGCCCAGCTCCAGGCCCTCATAAAATCATGGCTGTAACTACCTGTTTCACAATCCTGCAGGGCCTGGTGGTGGGGGTCTCAGCTGCCTGTGTGGAGAGTCAGGTGTCCCTTCCCAAGTTTGCACAATAGAGTCTTCTGCTCGCCTCTCAATCAAAGGCAAATGGCTCCAATGCCCTTTCCGTCCCAAGCATGGAGACCACACAGACTCGTTGTTTGTATCAGAATAAGGTACAAGCCTTGAATAGATGCCTCCCTCCTGTGTGGGAGGCTTGGCACTCATCTACTCTAATATCAACACTTAATAGATGAGGAAACAGAGGAATAAAATGAGATTCCCATTTGATAATCACATGTCCTCAGAATTCTGAACTATGCTTTAAAAATGGATGATCAAATTTCATCATGTATATACAAAGTATAAGAAAGACTACAGTGGACACCCTTTAACTCTCTCCTCCCAGTGGGATAAACAAACCATGACTGTAAAAATATGTGGCACTAATCCATCCTCCCCCAACACTCTCTGTCTCTCTACTACTGGGTTAAATAATTTGTTATAAAGGCCACAGAGAACTCAGATAGCATATTCAGAATTATGGGGTTTAATAGGGAAGGTAACAGGTTACAGTTTAGGGTCAGGCATGCTCATGACACAGTTGTTCCAGTCTGTTGTTAATAAATGCCCATAGAACTCACCACTTCACCATAGGCATCAGCCTGAAGACACTCAGATCTAGCCCATGGGTCAACAAACCTAGCTTCCCCAAGTAAGTACCTGGAGGAATCCCACTCTACAAGCAAACTTCCTGCCCAAAGTCACTCAGCTTTCCTTGCTCCATGGGCGGCAAGCCCACTGCTCTGCCTTGTGTTCATGGTTCTACTGCAGCTGTTTCTCTGCTCCTTCTCCGGTGTCACAGCTTTCTGTCCCTGGGTCAAGGAGGTTCAATGCACAGGGGTCTTGGGTCCAAAGGATATGCTGCACTGCTGGCTCTTTCTTCTTCATGGTAGCACAATTCCCCTTCCTGCTTCTGAGATGGCTCATTATTAAATGATGGTTCATTATTAATACCCATGCTTGAGTTTCAAGTTTTCACAATGACAATGAACTCTGCTCACATTCACAGCTGAATCCTATCATCCTGTCAGTATCTTCTCTTACCCAGACCCAGTGGGGCAGAAATATTGTGGGAGTTACAGACTATGGCTAGAACAGACCGTACATAATTCATGAAAGCATAAGCCACCCCCTGGCTCTGCTAGCCATTGTCAGTTTCGTATGCCATAGATTAACTTTTCCATATTATTTTAACTGTAAGCACACCCATGAAAACTTGTAAGCCAGGCATTTCATGCCTTTAGTATTCCCCATTTTTGATAGCCAATTTATAAATTGTCCATTTCTATCAATCCAGTTGTCTGAGGAGACAAACATACTCCTTGATGTAAAGACTCTTCTGTTCATGTTGGAAGTTTAGGCATCGGCATTTGTCAGCAAACTGCAGTCCACAGGAGGCCATTGAAGCTGTAATACTTTACACCTCATATGCAAGTGAAAGTTGGATGATGAATAAGAAAGATCATAGAAAAATTGATGCGTTTGAGTTATGGTGTTAGAGAATAGTAAAAGTACCATGGCCTTCCAGAAGAACAAATACATCTGTGTTGGATGAAGTACAGACAGAATGATCCTTAGAAGCCAGAATGGTGAGACTTTGTCTCTCATACTTTAGACATATTATCAGAAGGGACCAGTCCCTGGAGAAGGATATCATACTTGATAAAGTGGAGGGTCAATGGAAAAGAGGAAGACCCCCAATGTGATGGATTGGCACAGTGGCAGAAGCAATGGGCTCAAGTGTGGGATGGCTGAGGACCAGGCAGCACTTTGTTCTGTTCTATATAAGGTCACTGTGAGTTGGAACCAACTTGATGGCACCTAACAACAACAATAAGGTGTGCCTGACCCAAGCCATGGTATTTTCAATAACCTCATATGGATACAAAAGCTGGACAGTGAATAAGGAAAATCGTAGAAGAATTGATGCCTTTGAATTATGGTGTTGGAGGAGAATACTGAATGTGCCATGGGCTACCAAAAGAACCAATAGATCTGTTTTGGAAGTGTAGCCAGAGTGCTCCTTAGAGGCCAAGATGGCTAAACTTCGTCTCTCATTGGACATATTGTCAGGAGGGAACAGTTGCTGGAGAAGGAGCTCATGCTTGGTAAGATGGGGGGTCAGAGAAAAAGAGGAAGACCCCCAACGAGATGGATTGGGCAGATGGCAGCATTGATGGACTCAAGTGTGGCAGTGGTAATGAGGTTGGCCCAGGATTGGACATTGTTTCGTTCTGCTGTGCATGGGGTTGCTCTGAGTCGGTTCTGACTCAATGGCACCTGATAACAACAACAACAACAAGGCAAAGCACTGTGGAGATGAAATGATTCGTTCATTCACAGAAGTTGGTAGCAGTAGCTGGGCACTATCTAGTTGTTGTCATGGAGACTGATGCTCACCTGGTTCAGTAGTCCACTGAACTAATTGTTTCCATGTGTCTTCAACTTTCATCACTCTTATTTCCTCTGAGCAGGGAGAGATCACTAGCTGTACCTTAGATGACCACTCATGAGCTTTTAAGACCCCAATTACGATTCACCAAAGTAGGATGTGGACTACTGTCTTTATGGACCAATTGACCAGGGTGTTCCTTAAGATCATGGTCTTGAACCTCCAGACCCAGTGATTCATTCCTTCCAGGTGTTTTGTTATATCTCAGATGTTTTCATAACTTTGTCCTTTGTACGTTCCACCACAACCATGGATATATTTGTAGCAAAGGTACATGTGTACAAATCTCTTTTGCCAAACCTGTATATATTTGTGGGTATACCCCACTCTCCCTCCCACTCCCACTTAGCTTGGGTATCTATGTATGCAACTACCCATGTTGTTGTTGTTAAGTGCCATCAAGTCAGTTTCAATTCATAGTGACCCTGTATAGAGTTTCCAAGGAGAGACTCTGAGTTTGAACCACCAACCTTGTGGTTCAAACCGATCTTGCGGTCTAGGCTTTATTGCACAGTGCCACACCAGGACTCCCACAGATCACTGTTGTTTCAGGATTGTGTATATAATAGCAGTTACTCCTCCTTCCGGTATATAATTTTCTGTTTTTTTTTTTTTAACACTTCCATGTTTTAATTTTTAAATATACCTGAAAATTTAAAAATTTTAAATATACCTGAAAATGAAAGAAAATTCTTGCTGAGAATCTTTTAATGGAAAAATTTAGTCCATTTACACATATCTGATTACTGATATATTTAGGATGATTTCCATTTCATTATTTTGCGCTCTCAGTTTTTCTTCTTTCCTTATTGCCTTCTTCTAAATTAGTATATTTATATACTTTTCTTTTAATCATCACTTTCACCAACTTCTACTAATTTGAAAGCTACACAGTAGTTAACCAGGACATTTTAATGAGCATGCTTCACATAAGGATTCCTGGTGTGGCATTGTGAGTTAATGCACTGGACTGCAAAGTCGATTTGAATCACAAGGTCGGTGGTTCAAGCTTACCAGACACTCCTTGGAAACCCTATACAGTGCTGCTATGGGTTGGAATGGACTCCATGGCACTTAACAACAACAAAGCTTCACTTAATATTTAAGTTATTTAAGAATTTTTTCCTTCTTTTGAATCTTAGAGCACTTGGCTTCCAAAAGTCCTTTTCTTTCCTTATGCTATTGTTATCCAATATTTTGCTTCTGTCTTGACATTTACATATTTCAAATCTAGAGAGCTTCATTATTGTCTTATAGGCTTGTATTTGGAGTCTTGGTGTGGTGTTGTAGGTTAATGCGCTGTACTACAAGGTCGGTATGAACTGCAAGGTCAGCAGTTCAAGCTCACCAGCAGCTCCTTAGAAACCCTATATAGGGTTGCTATGAGTCTGAACTGACTCCATGGCGCACAGCAGCAGCCAAATTTTTCCCTTTTTTAGTGGGTTAGCCATATGTTCTTGGATTTAGATTTTCCTTTGGGGATCATTAAACTTATTATAATAGAGTTTGGGGAATTTTCCTTGTTGTTAGGTGCTGCCAAGTTAGTTCTGACCCTTAGACCCTAATGCACAACAGGCTAAAGTACCGCCTGCTCCTGCCTCATCCTCTCAATTGTTATGTTCGAACCTTAGTAAGGATTTCTATGTGTTAAATGCTGTCAGGTTCTGTGTGTCTTTGTTCTTGAATGAATATCTATTTATTTATTGAATTGTAGCTTCGTATTTTCTTTCAGCCCTTTGGAAATACCATTCCACATTCCGTTTCTAAAGTTGCTGTTGAGAAGTCAGTTTTCTTGGCATCCCTTGGAAGGTGATCTATCTCTTACTACATTTAACTTTTGCACTTTGTTTTCTGTTCCTGAATCTTGGTGTGGATTTTTAAAAAAATTATCACAACTTTGGCTTAGTGTGCTTTCTTAATATGAAAATACATAAGCTTCATCAATTCTGAATATTTCTCACTTACTTAGCTTTTTGAATTGTGTATTTCTCCATTCTTTTCTTTCCTGCTTTTTGGAAAGATGACAGACTTTTTGTTTTATTTTCCAGATTTGTTCACCTGTTTTTCATATTTCTCATTAATTTTCCTTTTTGTGTTGCATTCTAGGAAAATGATTCAGATCTATCTTTAGTCCACTTACTTGGCAGTGCGGAATCTGCTATTTAGCTCATCATTTGGATTTTAAAATTCAATGCTTATAAGAAGTCAGAGAAAGATGAGGCTGTCCTTTCCTGTAAAGATTTATGGTCTCCAAAATCCTATATAAGGTTGCTAGGACTCAGAATGAACTTGATGGCAGTGGGTTTTATATTCATTCATATCTAGAAGACCTAGTTGATTATTAAACCTACCTTATGATTTGCTGGTAGTCTTTTGTTCCTTAATCTTAGTTTCAATGTCATATTTATTGGTAGCATAGTGGTTACGAATCGGGCTGTGAACCGCAAGGTCAGCAGTTCGAAACTACCAGCTGCTCCATGGGAGAAAAATGAGGCTTTCTACTCCCATAAAGATTTACAGCTTCGGAAACCCTGAACAGGGTCACTATGAGTCGGAACTGACTCCACGGCACATAACAACAACAACAACAACATTCTTTAACATAATACCTCTTTTAAAGGGTGAGGTTGGTAATACCAGCATCTACATTCCTAGTGGGTCTAATACGACTGTTTGCTAATTTTTTCTGATTCATAATATGTGGTTGGAGTCCTGGTGTGGTGCTGTGGGTTAATGTGCTGGACTGCAAAGTCGATTTGAATCACAAGGTCGGAAGTTCAAGCTCACTAGCTGCTCCTTGGAAATCTTAAACAGGGTCGTTATGGGTTGGAACCAACTTGACGGCACATAACAACAACAACAACAACAACAACAATATGTGGGTTGTTTTCTCGTGTTTTATTTATGGAACAAGAGCTCCTATTTGGCTGATAATCTATGAAACTCCAGTGAAGACTGGTCTGTGGGATTTATTGCCTGGAATAAGATTCTTAAGTATTACCAACCCAAGCTACTTCAAGTTAATTACCTACCTTGGAATTTCTCAAGTCATCAAGGTTGTGTTAAACCCAAACCTGTTTGGTGACAAACCTTTCTTCCTTTCCCAATTTTCAGGTCAACTTAGTCACAACTGGCCCATTATTTTTCACCACATCCCCCTCTTTCTATCAATCTGTTACTCCCCAATGGCTCCTTTACTTTGTTCTGTACACAATTTTCCCACTCAACTTGAGTGGCAATGAATGATCACCAGTCACTCAAAGCTCACAGTAGCAAGGAGGTAGCCCCAAAGTCAGATTTAGTCTTAGATAGTTTGTTAGAGTAGCACACTTACACATTTTGAAACTGAATGTCTTCAAATGTTTATTAAATATTCAGAAAATTCAGTATTTATTATGTGTGAGGTGCTATTCTAGTCAATGGGGAACCAATAGGCAAAGAAAGAGGGAAACAAACTAACCCATGAGCCTCCTGTTCTCGAGGAAGAAGACCTTTCCTTTTGTGAGGCACAATTTAGAATAAGATATTCAGTTCAAAACGAAGATGACTTTCCCTTTCACTCAGTATGAATGAAGTCCCTCCCAGCATCTCCTGAGATACCACTCAACAGCCAGGGGGATGATGTTCTTCTCTGTTTCAGGAAAGTGGTCTAGGTCCGCTGGGCCAGCATTTCTCATGGATCCTACAGTAGAGTGTCCAGAAAGTTTGTGTAGGTCTTTCCCAGAGATGGGGACAAATGATCATCTATACCAACAGAAGTCACTTTTCTAGTTCTTTGTGTAGAGCAGAAGTGTCCAAGCTCTACAGTGGATATGAATCATTCACTGGGGAATCACTATGTTTCTTAAGGTGCTGGAGTTTAGTCAGGAGGCTAGAAGCAAAGCTTATGAAACATTTAGAGGGCAATTATGTGTGAGATCAAAACTGGGCTATGAGTCAGAGAAGCAAGATCTGTGGTGTGGGAAGGCAGACATTTCTTTGTGGAGTGAAGTTTGTGTGTAACTTCCACAATCACATGACTGCATGAATGCTACCTGACACCTGGGGGCGGGGGCGGGTTGCACACTGAGGATTTTAGGCCCAGCAGCCATGTCCACATGGGCAGAACCCAAGATTGCTTGCTTTGGTCAAGATAACCCATTGAGTTTCTTTTTTTTTTGAAGGCTGAGAAGACAGAGGAGATACACCAACAATTACAAAAGTTTCTTGCTGAAATAAACAAACCCACTAATGATTATGAACTGAACATAGCCAATAGGCTATTTGGAGAGAAGACATATCTCTTCCTTCAGGTAAGTTTGGATGTGTTCATCATGCCTGTGAACTGTATTCGTGAATGGTCCTGTTAAGAATGAGTGTCCTGGAGACATACTGCCCCCAGTGGCCACCTGGCTGCCCATAGCACTGGTGTCCTCTCCCTCTTGCTCTTTGACAGATCCTTGGGGAAAAATCTGTTTTCTCCTAATGGTCTGAACTCATTTTTGCCTTAGGTCCATTATACAAATACACGTAGGAACAGATCTACAGACTGGCCAAGAAGGGCCTGACCCCATCCCAGATTGGTGTGATCCTGAGAGATTCTCATAGCATTGCACAAGTACGTTTTGTGACAGGCAATAAAATCCTAAGAATCCTTAAATCCAAAGGACTTGCTCCTGGTCTTTCTGAGGATCTCTACCATTTCATTAAAAAAGCTGTTGCTGTTCGTAAGCATCTTGAAAGGAACAGAAAGGAT